AATGAATGATTTATTGCCACGATCCTCTTCAAACTTTGGTCATCGATCGGCATGCCGTTTTCATGGTTTTTTGTTTGTTTGTTTTTTATTTTGCTACATGCTTAAACACCATCTCCACTACCGCTATTATGGATTCATTTTACAAAAATACCCTTAAGCTTCTTCTAAGTGAAATATTTCCAGTTTGGATGTTTACGTGTATTTTTCTGACACAGCAAATGCGCGCACGCTGCATTTCAGAAACACCCGTCTGTGAACCACCCGGGACCGCCCTCGGGAGCCAGCGCTGGACACTGCGGGGTCCACGGCCGTCCGACCCATCCACGGGTAATCACCGGGTGCCCAGGCCTCTTCCGCATCTTGAGATGCTCCCTCCAGGTCAGGGGTGAGGCACAGCGGGGAGACCGTTCCCGAAGCCTCTTCCCGTATGCACACTGTGAATGGATGAAAGATGAGGTCGGAGGCTGCTGGCGAAGACCCTAGAAGCCATAACGGATTCACCAGCAGACCCGGGGTACGGAGCAAGCAAATAAGCCGGCAAGCGTTTGTTGACATAACGATTGATCGGCCGGAAGCCGGAGCTCCCCCAAGTCTTTAAAATGGACTGTGTTTTAAGAAAAACTACTTTTGAGATGAAGGACACGGCGCTCTGTGCTCCCACACATCTTTCTTATATTGCGCCTAAAAGTCGTAAAGCTGGATGTCCCCGGCGATGCACTATTTCTCATCCAAGCTTAAACGGCCTCTATTTAGTTGGCTCTTTTTGTCCAAAGTCCGGCTTTTTCTCACCAGAGATTTCCAGCCCCACGGACTCTGACGAGGGAATGATTTTTTTTAACCCCTGCAGCTTCTGACCCTCTGATTGCATTAAAGCAATCTTCTTTTGTGATTTATATTTGTGCCAATGTTTAATTCTATCACCTTCTCCTGCCCCACCACCCCCCCGTCTCAATTTCCTCTCGGATTATTTTTTGTCTTGATAATATAATTTTTGTAGCGAAGTTATAGTCTGTCATTTTACATTTCTGAAGCGAGACATAAATGCACTCGATTATTTTTTATGAATGTCCATAATGACTAATGCATTGATTGACTCTCAAAGACGGGACTTTCGCTTTTACTTCATGGATCGTCCCCGCCCCGCCCCGCCCAAGGCTCAGCTCTTTGACGCTCTGCACGTACGGAAGACGTGATGAAAGTGTGTCATTCCTTCTCAGGGTTTTTAGATGTTGCAAAGAAAGGCAAAGCGCTCTCCAAACTGCTTGAATCTTCGTGTAATTTTAAGTTCAAGAGAAGAGGGAAATGCACGCCTATTTTAATAAAAATGGCCCCAGAACGAACTTAGCCCGGCTGTAAAACATCCACCCGAAGAATCAACAAGCACCTGAACAAACAACATCCTGTCTTTTCAAGGGGTCTGCAGCAGGTCGGGTGCCGGGTCCCAGGACGTGACACAAGGAGCCAGGATTCGATGCCACCACTCGACTGCCCGTCAGTTACCGAGACCTTAACGTGTCCCCGTCTCTCTCTCTCTCTCTCTCCCCGCCCCCCTTAGAATAAAGACCTTTCTTTCTGGGGAAAGACAGCAGAAGCATCTGTAACTCACCCTAAAATGAAACTCACGGCTCTATGTCAACCTCTTCCAAGACAGAAACTCTCGGCGGCAGACTCTGAGAGCCGCGTGATGGGAACGCCCCTCTGGGTAAGCGGCGTCTGTCCTTCTGGGTTCTGAGTGCACGTTTCTGCCGCCCCCCCCCCATTTTAACTCTGCGGGTGCAGGAGGGAGGGGCGTGCCGCTGGGCTGCGCTACTACCTGTTGCTGCCTTTGTTCAGAGGCTTCCGGTGTCCGTCCGGCTGCGCCCACGGCAAGTGTGCTGCACGCTCAGACGCATTTTAGATGCGATGCTCGCGCTGGTGGCTGCACACCCCGTTGGCTCCTAAGTCACCTCGCAAAGCTACTGCTGGCTTTCCAAGGAACAACACGGCGGCCCCAGGCCAATTCCATAGACCCGCCCATGGCACGTGGCGCTTTGTGGCCTGGAACGGTCAGTTGCAGGACCTGGAGCGACCCACGGCCTTGACTCACAGCATGCCTTCCCTGTCAACATCACAGCCCACTTGTCACGGGTCTGCAAGTCCAGTAGGCGAATTGCGTCACAGACCTGGAGGCGATCGGGCAAGGCTCGCCCCTGGTGGCCTGGACTCCCAGAAAGCACTGCGCCACCAGCAAACCTCTGGCTCTCAGCGGGTGTCTGGTTCCAGGCGTGTCCCACTGGGCCCCTGGGCATCTCACAAACGACACACCCCGAATCCGAGCTCACGGAAGTGGCCCACGAAACACAAAGTGTCTGCACACCTGATGCTTCGTACCTCGTAGCTCAGTGTTGCTCAGCGTTTCATACAAATCAGTTTCTTTAGCCACGCATTCATTCAGCAAATAATTATCCATGGTGGACCTACTGTGTGCCAGGCCTTCGGTTAACTGTGAGAATACGAAATGAGTTGGATGTGGCCCGTCTTGGATTCCTCTGTAAGTAACTGAGGACAACTGTGATCTCGGCGTGGGACCGTCACACCCACCTAAGATACGGCGAGATTCACCCACGGGGACAATTACTCTCGAAAGTCTTTGAAACCAAAGCCTTTTGACCACGAACGTACTGTTGATTTCTAAAGTCCACCTTCTGCCATTGCAGCCTGGAGCCTCAGAAAGAACCACGTGCCAGCGCCCGCTCATCTGCGTCCCCCGGGTTGGGGCCCCCTCCCCCGACCTCCCCCTGGTCGGGGTCCTCTCCCCGCCGACCTCCGCTTGGTTGAGGCCCCCTCCCCTGATCTCCCTGTGGTTGGGGCCCCCTCCCCCGACCTTCCCCTAGTTGGGGTCCTCCCACGACCTCTCCTTGGTTGGGCCCCCCGTCGACCTCTCCCTGTCCCCTTGAGGTCTGGGACACCCACCAGGCTTTAACTCTTCGGGACTGGACTAAACGTCACCCACCAACGTGACGACCATCACGGACGCACCCCGTGCACTTTCCCGGGCCTGCGGGGACCCCCGCCCACCACCTGGGGAATGCTTCTGCTTTCCAGTGTCGAGGCTCAGGGAAGGTCCCTGCACGGCGAGTGTCCAGGCCTGTCCCACCCACACGAGGAGGACGTAGTCCCCGTGGGTCTCTCTCCGATGGCAGAGTGACCCGTACGTGCAGAAGCAGTTAATGATGGGAAAGTTTATGCTCTGTGTATTTTGCCACAATTAAAAAAAAAGAAACGGTGCCGCCTTAATAACCTCATCTGAAAATCAGAGGCAGAAGCGGCGCCCGTTCGGGGGCCGCGGTGAGGGTGAAGAAGCAAAGGGCCGCCCGACACGCGTTAAGACACGGCCATTGCCGCTGTCGCTGGTACGAAGCCCGCTCCAGCACTGGTCTCGCGGGACCAGGCCGTGCCAGCCACGAGAGCGAGTTGGGGACCGAAACGACACCGTCCAGTGAGACGTCAGACAATAAATAAAATGCACGAGCATACGCTCTAAACAGACGACGTCTGCAAACACGAGGGGGGCCGACAGTGTCGTGGGGGCGTTGCTCGGGAAAGGCCTTGGTGAGGACATGGAGGGTGGAGCCGGCCTGCGGAGGGGGAGGGCAGGGGGCGGGGCCTGATGAGAGAGAGGTCAGGGTGAGGGCGGCCGGCCGGGCCTCCCACGTCCTCGCAAATGCTCAGCTTTCCCTGTGAGACGGGAGGGAAGCCCGCGGGGGCCTCCGGCCGAGGGGCGACACCAGCAGACTGCAGTCTGACCCCCGGCTGCAGCACCGGA